CACTATCTGCTTTCCTGCATTTTGTGAAACCATTTGCACACCATTTCATCAATGCAAAAATCAGTATCTCCAAAGACACAGTCTTCTACTGGCAGTAGCTTAGTGTTAAAAGAACTACACACACACTGTTTAGGCTAATCTCCAAAATACAAAATTCTGCTGTTCACAAGAAACTTTCAGCTACTGGCAATAAAATTATTTAAGAAACAAAACAACAAAATCACCAACTCCCTGCTCCCAACCAAAGTGTTATTCAAATTGTTGAGATGAAGTACAGAACTTTTTTTCTGCTCACTCTTATAAACACTGGTTGTAATTATGGCTTAAATTGCAACTAAAATGATTACCTACTAAGGACTTGAAAACGTAAATGAAATTATGTGTCATTAACTTTCCAATAGAGAATATGGACATTTTAAAGCTACATGACAAGACCGTGGAAGACCTCCAACCAAAGTAACAAATCTGATCACCCACAGTTAAAATTAAACATGGAAAACACAGAGATGCTACAACAGTCAGGGAAACAGGGACTCGTAAGAAGATGGCAACTCTTTTAACCTCATTATGAACAATTAAAAGCACTTGTCTTGTTTACTTTACTAAAACTAAACTGAAAAGGAGACACAACTGCCTGCTATCAATGCATCAGAAGATGGCTAAACACAGAATAAGAGGATAAAAAAATGGCATAAAAAAGTTTAGGTCAAAAGGTTTTTGACAATCAAAGGAAGGTAATACTTAAATCAGAGTGTCAGTAAGACTAGTCAAGGCAAAAAAAAAAAAAAGTGCAAAAACATTTAAGAAGAAAATTGAAATTAATAGATGGGATTATGTATTGTGGTTCCCTATAAGGGTAAAGGAATGGGTTCAAGATTTCTTCTACACTGTAACCGGTCCTATTTCCTAGGGAATGAAAATAAAGGACTGTTTTAAAAGCAACAAATTCCTATTCCAAAAAAAAAACGCAGAAGTGTCATTTTGGATAAAAAACTGTTGAAGATGCCTAATTTTTCTTGTAGATTTAATCTTATTTTGTAAGGAGACTTAAAATGGAATAAACTCCTCAGATTTAATTAATTTAATTGAGTTCATTAATTGAAATTAATTTAATTGAGGCTTTTTGTAGTGTTTCACGTGCTCATGAGAAGATTATATGAAGCATGAGGTAGATGGTGAAACTGCTGGGAAATGCTGAATACTCCCTGTTTCCAACCATAATTTCAAAAGCTACTCTGACTGTGCAAGACAATCATGGAGTTCAGTATGAAAACATGATTCTTTCTTGGAATTACTAGACATGGCAAAAACTCTTCCTCTCTGGTTAAGTCTTCACTTGCATCAGAAATCAGACTCATCTCCATCACCAAGGAGACATGCTGATTATTTACAAATGTGTCTAGCCAGGATATTTGCTTCTGGAGAAGATAAGAAACAAGCAAATGTAGGATGTCTCCAAAACACACTTACCTGCCTCCATAGCAAGAAAAGCAGCAGAAGTGGCTATTAACCCTTTGGGGGGCACATAGTATTTTGTAAAATTATTTTGATAGTGCTATTTACAGACCACTTTCATGACAGCCACAAGTGGTATGATAAATCAGCTTGTCAGAAACATCCCTCACATCACTCCAAAAAGCCCAACTGGTTAATCCCTAAATCCCAGGAGTTCATCACCAACTCACTTTCCATGTCTCCAACTGTGTTTTCCTTCACCTACAGGTAAGTCATGAAATTTAAATATCTGGTATCAGCACCTTCTACTTCTACCTATCTTGGAAGCAGTCTCCCCTTCGAGATCCTGAGCATTTTCTGGTTTCTAAAGTAGAAAACAGACTTTTGCAGCAACTGCCTAGTACCTCCATAGGTATAAATAAATTCTTCCCTTTCTTAGACATCAATATATAGCTGAAACTACTCTAAAATGGCAAGGCTGTAAAGCGAAGCTCTGCTGAGCAGGCTTATGTGGATAGGAAATTCAAAAATCCATGCTTAACACAGGAAAACTACAGTAAGCCTTAGGAAAAAAACACATTTAAAAGGAGAGAATAAAGGCAAGTCCAAATGTCAGGCCAATTCTGAAAAGATTTTTGAGAAATGAGTCACGCAAGCTTTCCATTTTTTATCCCATTCCTAGGGTCAGAGACAGGTTTCCCAGGAGTTTGTTTCTCTGCACGACTGAGGAAAGAATTTAGCATCTTACTATACTTTTACACAGAGCCATCATGTTTTACAGCAATGTCAAAAGAGAGCCCAGAGGAATTTACGGTCCAGGATTGGTAAAAGCATCTTTTTACCTCCCTTGAAACTCAATTAGGAAGGCACAGGTTGCTCTATAAATTAATCAGGAAGGTTATGATCTGTCTCCTGGGAAATACCAATTCAAAACTCATTTCCAGTTGTGCATGTTTCACATGCAGAATTAGGATCCTTGTCAAGCACAGTGAGGAATCTCTTCAAGAAATGCCTACCAAAATAAATTACTGAAATCAAGAAGCTGGATGTAATAATTCTCCCCTTTCTACCCCTTCCCCTTCTCTTTTATGGCCTTGTGCAGACAACCTGCACCATGAAGCCAAGGATATGAAGCTCTGAACTTGCACCTTAAGCACATGATGTATAGAGAAACATTTGTTGCTTATTGATAGTTTTGAATGCTTAACTGTGTTGATGTATAAAACACTTTTCTTACAAGAATGACATTAATTATATGACACACTTTTCCAAAACCTGACATTTTTGCAGTGCTACAATCTTTGCAAAAGTTGACACTCTGAGGGGAAGACGACTACTTCAGTTTTCCACAAGGTGGCATGGTTCCCTTTGCTGAAAGACAGCACTGCTCAGCACCATTGAGAATTTTTTTTTTTTTTTTTTAAATGTACCGGCCACTGTCATGAATAGGTTTAAACATGTTTAAGACCTCCCAAAATATCTCTAACAAGGTTCGTTCTAATAAGTTATTCCAATAAAGAGTTTAATGAGTTAAAAAAAGCTTCCTTCTCTTATGCTGAAATTAAGAAAAAGTATCTGTGCTTCCTGCCATGCAAAAGCAAGCTTCTATCAAACATAGTTAAGGCACTTCATGTGGCAGGGGAGAACCTATGAGACTAAAAAAATCTGACTTTCTGAGTCTCAGGTCATCAGTTTCAAATCCTATCAGACTTTTTTCAGGCTCCCACTATTTTGAGTAAAACAGGCTAGCAATGAATCCGCCTGCCACGCCCCCTTCCCATGCAGGTGAGAATGAAAGATCCCAGAGCATTTTCCCCAGGTTTTCCCTGCTGTTTCCTGACCACCTCCCATCCCTGCAGCAGCTGCCTTTCCCGTCCTCAGGGCACGGAGCAGCTCTGCCCACAGCCGCCCTGCTGCACAGCAACACCAGCACCGCGGAGCTTCACCCGCAGGACCACTCACACCGTCACTACTGCCCCTGCACAACGTCCCCACCAGGCAGTGACAGACAGCAGGCAAGGTGCTTTGCCTCAAGTGATTTGAAAAAAAACAAACCAAGCGTGCAGTCTCTCCTCTATTTCTTGTCTTAACCACTTCTGTGAATGTTCTAGCGCTCAGTTTGATTACCCATTTAAGCATCATCTGCATGGTTTTGCCTAAACAGGAGAAACAAAACCAGCTGTGATAGGAAAAAGAGGACAAGCTTTTGGCATTGACCCATTTCACGGATACTGGATGGGTATCAGTTCCACAAATTTTGAAGTTTAAACAGCAAGCCAGAGAGGGAAGAGATAGGATGACACGAGCTAATCATCCACACAAATACTGCCATGGTTCTCCATGCAGGAAGGGCTCCTAATTCTACCCAGTGCAAATTACCTGGCAAAGTGTCAGACATATCAAAATACTGCCTCCCTATAATGCTTTCCATACTGTAAGGCTTATCATGAAAGGAACAGCTTTCTGGTTCTGAGGACTGGCACCTAATGTTCATCGCTCCTCCAACTCCATTTACTGTGCTCAGAACTTACTGCTTGTTATTGTAATGAGCACAGCTGAAATCCTTGCTTTTTAACCACCAGCCTGACAAGCAAAACACATTTATTCACATCTGATTTAGACATCACAAGCCAAATAATCAAGATGACAAAGAAGTTTAAGTACCCTGATCAGTCTGTTTTCTCTCCTAAAATATATCATTAACGCTATTATAATTATTAAATCTGTTACATACTGTCTCTCTGCATATAAGTAGCTTCTGATCCTGTCAGTCACTGCAGGTGTATGGCACAGCCAAAACACTTAAATTACTTGGATTTACAATTATAGAGATTCACATACACCCTTAAAATGGATACAAGCACAAGGCAAAACTATCAACAAGACAAATCTGGAGATATGTATATAAGCATTCAAAACCTTCTGCTGCTTCTTTCTCCTCAAAAACCTTAGATTACAACAATAAAAGTTCTGATTTAATTATGGTGCTTGTTCACATAATGGTCTCATTTTTCTCTATAAATTTTCTTTTCAAAGTAGGTTGCTTTCTCTGTTCTAAAATACAAAGTTTCTTGTTCTAAAACATACCTTCCCTGTTACCAGCTGAGAGTTCAAGCAGCCACATAAACAAGGAAGAGCACTTAAAAAAGGGACCAACTTGAGAATAAAGAGCAAATTCTGTCACTGAATAGGGAAGCTATCCAGCCATGACGAACAACAGAGCGCTCTCTGACTCAGGACAGAAAACTCAGTTAGTTGTGCAAGGGGTTAGTTTAATTCTAGTTGGACAGTACAATCTTGAGCCGTAACAGGCAATTTCTTGGCTTACATGATTTAAAAATAAGTCACACTTTCCTGACCAAATTGAATGAAGCTTTAAATCTGCAAATTCTTTTGATGGAATTAGTCTCACATGGTCAGTCTACACTGTGCCAAGAGGAGGAATAGAGTTAATTTCAAAACATAGGAGGCATTCTGCACCTTGCAAGTTATGTTTACAATGGCAAATTTTTAATTGTTATCCCATTGTGGAGCTTCTTACAGACCTTGGCTTCTGGATCACTGTTGATGCTACAAGAATCATCATCATCAGACTGTGGACCATTTCTGTCACAGAAAAAAAAACAAACCAACAAAATCAATCTTAAAATCATATAAAAATTACAGTACAGCACAAAATGGAGCTGCTCATTCCATGGAGCCTTTTGAAGTCATTGTACCTGAGCTTCAAGGAGGCATAGCGTAGCGTTGCTCCTTCAAACTCTTTCAGACTTGGGTCCGGGTTCACAGTGGCTGCATGCAGATCCTAGAGATAAAGGCAGTGCTATTAGTATAGTATTAAGTGCTATTAATATAGTATTAAGTACACCACCATGTTATTTCTTATTTCAAAGGGAAATTAAATCCTCCCTGCGAAGAAGCGATAGTATTTCTGGCTGAAGTTGAATAGAGGCATGCATATATTCTCAAGCTGCATTTCATTCAGTGCAGGCATCTTATTCGTTACATCATGGCAATTGCCCTGCTAGTTTAGACTGAATCCATTCCAAGTGGAAAGATCAGAAAAGGCAGCATGTTTGTGAGCTAGACATCCCTAGCAGTACCCCCATTCACTTTGGCCTAGGTTATGAATGACATTCATGGAAAAACAAAAGGGGAAAAAAACAGCCACTGCCATGCAAAAACCAAGGGTAATAGTATTAAAGGTTCTAAAATCTGACAATATACTTGCCTTCCAAATGTCACTATTAATCTTTCCCCCATTCAGTACAGCAAAATCACTCCATGGCTGTTTCTAGACACATAATTATTCACACAGGAAGAAGCACATTGATAAAAAAAAAAAAAAAAAAAAAGAAAGAAAAGAAAAAAACACAAGACACTGTTGTTAGCATTGATATTTACAGGATGGGTTAGGGAACAGAACACCTCAAACTTCAGCTAATTACTCCACTATACCATGGCATTTGGAGGAAATTGGAGGAAAGGGAAGAGAAGACATGCCTCTAACAGTTACTTACCAAAACAAATGATTGAAACAAGGAAAGTTAATATAAATTAGGAACAGACAATGAAATTACTCTTTAACTATGATCTTAAAAGCAAGCAAAATGAATCAGAATATGAATGTTGGCCACAGCTGCTACAGCTTTTGATAAACAGCAATTAAGGGGAAACATTAGGATATCCATTTGATTAGCACTTTTGTTAAAAGACCCTAACACTATCAGAACTAAAAATACTGAAATGCAACGATATATACAAGGATGAAATACATACAAGGCAAAAATCAAACATTTCTAGAGAGAAAGCACAAGAAAAGGACAGTGAAGGGAAGGAGGATTAATAAGGAGTGCAGAGAGATTTCTTGATGAAAAAGTGGTTTTGTAAAGTCTAACAACTTTTTTAAAAAAACAGAACAAAACAAAAAGAAAAACCCAAATAAACCACCCGCCCTCTCATTTTCCATTCAGGTTTCTCAAAATTTTCAGAGGCATTCCCTGGCACAATCAAGCAAGTAGCAGTGCATATAGCACCACAGCAACTTGAGGCTCATCCTTCTCTGTAAAGCCTGCGAGGAGCAGCTGATGCTGGAGTTGCCCCTCGCCTCTTCCCCACGAGGACAGAAATCCCAGAGTCCTGAACAAGAGCCAGGTAAGACAGGAGATTTGGTTGCTGAGAGACCCAGAGCCATCTCTTTGTAGCTTCACCAAATCAAGTATTCCTGTAACTAGTGGCCCATTTTAAGATGAGCTTTCCGAGGTTGTCCAGCTCAGCCCCAGATGAAGCGGTACCTATTAATACGGCCCAATGCGTTTATTTTGCAGGGTGAACCTCTCATCTCAGAATTGTTCTGAGTACATCCCCACTGGAGGAATTATCTGTGAGAGACAACTCCCAGGATTAACTTTTCCCTAACATGCCTTTGAATTAACTGAGTTGTTAGTTTTTCCTACTAAGCCTCTCCTCTTTAATTAGTAGCTGGTAGTGGTTGTTACCTACAGGAGAACTTCTAGAGGTGATCCAGGCCAGGGATTAGTCAGGCTATAAGACACAATGACCATCAACAAATTCTGCCATGATGTCAAAGAAGCTCTTATTGAAAATTAAACCCTATGGCTTTATCTCTGCACAGCAAATGGGAAAAAAGGCAGCAAAATCTCTAAAATTTCGAAAAGAACGTTGCAAAATACAAGGATTCACAAAAGAAGTAATTTGGCAACACACAGGAGAAAAGAACCATCTAAAACTAAGTGAAATTCAATCAGCTGTGCAAAACCAAAATGCATTTTCATACTTTTGAGGGTGAGGAAGCAATGTTCCAGGTTATTTGTATTTAGCATTTATTAGCATTTTTGTTAAATCTGCAGGATTTTCGCATAATGCTTAACCCATAATTGCTTTGGATTGAAATTTACCGATTATCTTGTGAAAGAAAAATTGCCTTGCAGCCTGTGCAAAAGTAAGACATTTTCGCATTTTTTCCGTTTTAATATCCTTTTTGACATTTGTATGCATTACAGCATCATTCCTCCCTACCCATTTTTTTCCTGATTCTCTGTTCAACATTAGTAAGTAACTGCTTTTCTTTACACTAAATATCCAGAGTAAGCTACAACATGAAAATGGCTGACTTGATCTGTTCTTTGTTGACTGCCCTCAGCTGTGAGCCACATTCTACCAAATGAAGCAAAAAGCTTCTGTGTATCACATCATTTAAGACAGCGACATAAAATAATTAAAAAAAAAAAAAAAAACAAACAAAAAAACAACAAACCAAACCAAAACATAAAGAGGAAACAAGACAAAAGGTAAAAAGGCATTACTCTAGAAAAAAAAAAAAGTGTTTAAAAATGTTTATCTGACAAACTCAAAAGCTGAAAGAGCCCAAATAAACTCATCTCAAGACTAGCACGTGATGTTTCACAGACAAATATGATAAAGATAAAACTATTTTTCATGCACTCACAGAAGCCTATTGGGACAGATATGAAAAGCTACCCATAACAGTTTTCAATCTTAGATTATACTCTTTCATGTTCCTAAAACCTATATATCCCCCAACCTTTTCAGAAGGAATCAATACAAATTCCAGAATGTGGGAATGAGCTAAACCAGCCCTCGCGAACCAGATTATCTTGGAGCACAGGCTTCCGAACAGCATTGAGGGAACCAGCAGTACATGGCTCACACGTGGTCCCACTTGGAGCTGGAAGCTGTCCACCACAACTCCTGCTGCCAATGGCAGCGCTGGGATAAAGGTGTTTGGGAGCCCCTATTCTAGATTCCACATCTTTTGTGAAGTGTAAGATCAACCATATCGCAGACAGCCAGGTTGATCCTTCACGGGGAGAGAGAGGGGGAGCACTTGGGACAGGCTGCAGTGCAGTCAACAGGGACTGAAACCAGTATCACCTGCAAGTGATCTGAAGGTGATTAGGTGCTTGCAAGTATTGACTGTGGAAAGATGAAAAACCAAAGATTCATAATAGCTGACACTGTTAAACCTAGATTACAAATTGTTTCATTACCTATCCCTATCTCTTAACCCCACACCATGGCTTATTTCCCTCTTACTGCTGGTTCTGCTTAGAACCAGCTGAATCCCAAAGGATTCTTCTTCCAGTTCTGTCCCAATAAAGTTCAATATCCGTGGTTTCAAGAAATTCAAGACTTTTCCTAACAGTTCCCATTATAACTCCAGCTACGCCCCTTCTTGGTAGCAGTTTCAGTACGTAGCAGTGCACAAAGCCCTGAGTCCAACTCACATTCTTGTTTTGAACTCCATTACTGTAAGTCTGCTGGTACTGTATTGCAATGATACCTTAATAACCACTAAGTCAAAAAATCATTATTGTTTCAATATGGGTATATAAGATGCTTATCAATTAATGCAGAAACCTTCAAGAGACAAATGCCTTCATCTATACCTACAGTTAAAATAACCATATATTATCACAATGATACAAATTCTAGAAACTTGCTTATTTTCTGTTCCATCTTTTACACTACAGTATACAGTCTTGATGCTGCCACAGAACTGTATATGCATAAATCTTTGCTGGACCAAATTCTTTGCTGAATTAGAACTGCTATATCAAAACCCAGATGAGCCTACTCCGTACTCATATACACGGCATTTTAGAATGACTGCTCAAATGTCTTATTTAATACATCTACACTGTATTAAAATCTATGTTGTTGTAATTCATACATTTCATATTCTCCATGATGCTGCTGAGAATCAATGATCATTATTTATGATCAAAAACTATTCTTCATTTAAAGCAAACAAAATTGTGAAAGGTTAAAAGTATATCTGCTGCATTACCAACAGGTCTGAAATTTTCATTGTAAAGACATTTTAAGCAGACATAGAAAAATATTTCAAATGAATATACGCATTTTCCCTCTGCTATTTACCAACCATACTGATTTCTCATTTTCTGTGAAAGACATCTATAACTTACTAATCAAAGCCCTGTTTCTCCATATTTCAGAGTAAGAAAAACACCTAACGGTAAAGTTATAGCCCTCACGTGTACATTACAGAATTTTATACTGGAAGCATGTACAGCACTTTACATTCAGCATTTGTGGATTTTTTTTTTCTTTTTTTCTACCTGAATGATAACAATTGCTGTTCTTTCTCCATAAACCCTCTCAGAAATAGTTCCCAGCATGCTTAGTACACAATACATTCCACGGGAGCTTGACTGATGTAAACCATAACCGAAATGTTGTGGTCAAGTTTGCAAACCTTATGAGGAGCATTTATGAACATGTGGGAGCAATCTTTCTAAAATAATGAACAAGAATGCACAATTTTAAGCCTATACAGGACAGAAGTTTTAGGGTGAAAGTGGTAATACATACTTGAATGTCCTTAACTCCTCTGAACTTTCATTTAAGTTACTTTAGTGAATATATCAGCAAAATCAAGAACAGAAGAAATGTCGTATCTAAATACATTTTTAAAAAATAAATAAAACCTAGGGATTGCTAATCCAAAGATAGTACAAAGGCTTCTATTTGTTTCATAAAACTGTCGGCCTTCTTCTGAAAAGTTACTATGAAAAAGAATTCATTTCAAAACAATTTGATTTTATATTAGTATTTAATTCCACAGAACTCTTCCCAGCATACTAAAACAAAGTGAATGCATTTGTTGAAGCATACTCTTCTTTCTGATAATTTATTTTATTTTTCTACTTATATGACACCAATCAACCCCCTGGATTGTGCCTGAAAGGATTATTTTAAAAGGCAGTATCACATACTGCTCTTTCAGAACATGTGGAAGAGAGAGTGCATTTCTTTCTGTTTCTACTTAAAGACTGACTGCAACACAGTGATACACTTGTGCAGATATTTTGTACTGGCAAGACCTTAGAGACATACACTTGAGAGTACTTCATGTTTATTCAATAGAAACTACCTTATAAAGGAACTAGTGTCTCAAATGAAGACTCATATGTCTCTGTGTGATACCCCCATAACAAGTGAACCAAAAAGAAGATGCAAACAAAGAGTCCATCCAAAAGATTGCTATAACGTGCAAAAATTTTATGTATCCTATGTCCATATAATGCAGCAACGTTTCAGCAGATGCTACAGACCTGAAGTAGTTTCACATTCATCAGGCACTGGTTGTCTAATTTATCTGAAATATGTCTGATTTATCCTACACATCCAAAATTTAGGATGTTTCGCAAGGCACAGCCATTAGAAAATAGATATTTACAATGTCTTATCAACAAATAGCTATACTTTCAGATATTATCAAGCCCCATATTCTAAAGCTCCGTTTAGCTAACAGTTAAACCTGCAAGTTCAAAAAGCTATTTCAGTTTTCTTTACAGTGTGCAGCCCACAAGAAGACACAGTATGTTACCTCAGTTTCTGGAGTAGGAGATGGAGTAATGGAACCAAGTGATCCTTTTCGTGAGCCCTGGAGATCTGTTGGGATGGACACAGGACGCTGCCATTGAGTTGTTCCTGTTGGTATGTGCCAGTAGTAGATCCCAGCAATGTCATTGATTTTTTTCCAGCCAGGTGGTAAGTCTGGGTCTGTCTGAAATGAATGATCACTCCATATATCTGCTGGGAGTAGGGGGGAGGGGATTAAAAAAAAAAAAAAAAAAAAAGGAAATGAGAATCAGTGTTACTAAGACATGAACAACTGTCATGGGTCTGCACCTGATGCAAGTGATGCACAAGCTGGTACTGCTCTTGTACAGTTCCTGTGTAAATGAACACCAGAAAAACATACTGAATTATTGAGGCTCAAAGTAAGGTGACAAAGCCTGGTTTCGCTTAGCCTATAAAGAGAAGGCAAAAAATACACTACTTACCAAAAAGCTGTTCTAATATGGCTGCTATCTAATACCATCAGATAAACTGGCTCTTCTTATAAAGTTTAGCTTCAAACACATGGAATCACACCACATTTGGAGTTACTGTATTTTCTACCCTCTTCATCACAGCACCTTCCTTTCTCAATGCATGGTAGCAGAGCATATATTTCTGCTAATCAAAGAGAGTTTACCAAAAATGACCCCCACCTCCCCCCAACACACCAATCAAACAACCTGCATTGGGTTTACTTACAACACCTAAAAGGCTGATTGTTTGAAACGATGAGAACAAAAGAACCGCGCAGTCAAACTGAGCAGTCATTTTACACACACCCCTGATGGTCACAAATAAACATACCATTTTCAAATGGTTTTATAATGAGGTGGGAAAAAAATTCAACACTCATCCACAGTGACAACATAGAGATGAAACACTGGCTCTATTGACAACCCTCCTACTACCTTAAGAACACACCAGCTATTCATATCATAATTAGAGACATTCCCAGATTTACCTGGGATTTTAGATGCATATTAGTGATGTCACTGGTGGAGAGCATGCAGTGCTTTATAGAAAGGCAGAGGCATCAGCTATGTGCAAACCAACTGCGCCTCAGCAGGGACAGTTACCTTCTGCTGCATACATGCTTTCCAGAAGCTGGGAAGGGAGCCAGTGCTCTTCTAAACCTCCCAGCTGAATTTCTTTGGTGGTGTCATTATGGTACGTGCTATTAACCAGCTGCTATGGTCTACTCCAAGGACCATCAAGTTGCAGGGAGAAACAAGTAACCTCCCGGACCGGTGCTCCCACCAGCACTTGAGCAGACATGATGAAGGCCAACACAAGCACAGTGAACTGAGCTAGTGAGGAAAAAAAAACAAACCAAGAATAAAGGAAGCACCATACCAATGAGCTGTGGCTCAACTAGTCCGATGCAACTTGTTTCCAACCTTCAAAGACAGTCCTCTAAACACCTTGAACGGACAACAGATGAATAACCTGCTGTTACATTGCTGCTCTTAATCTCTTTTTGAATTAAAAGTTTCTTGTTAGTTTATCCTCAAGCCTCTTACTGGGTGTTTTTATCATTGTTGCTTATTTCTGATTCTCTCTCACTCCTGCTACCCACATCAATGCACGCGCACACACACACACACACACACACAAATGCTATCATAGCTTGAAATAACTTGTACACTCCGTGGCACAAATCAGACTATTTCTTTCCCTGAGCCACTTAGCGTTCTTATGTGATCGAATTACCACTTGAGGTCTAATCTGAGCAAATGCTATGAAGAAAAACTAGACCATATCATCCCACTTAAATTCAATAATGAGCCTTAGCTATGGCCCAATATCTGAAATCAGCAACATTCATATAATCAGTTCCAGGAATTCCCCAGTATTCTAAACACCCACTCCTAAAAGTCCCCCATTGTAGCCTCTATTGCACTCAAGCACGTAGTTCCTGACTCCAAGGTCTCAAGGTCTTACATGTTTTAAAGCCCATTCATCTTGGACCTTGCCCATTTTTGTTTTCCAACTGAAAAACTTAGTTGCACTCAGCCATATAAAAGGAAAATAAAAGCAAAACACTTCTAATAATTTGACTGCATTTTGCAAAAAGTGACATGCAAAGATCAAATATCTATACAACACGCTGAAGTATGCGTGGCAACATCTGCAAGTCCAGATAGACATTGGTAAGTTTAAATAACTGTTTCATAAAACTCGAAATAGTATCAGCATTCATAAAACTTACATATAGGGCCTTTCAGTGCATGCCAGAATAGGAAAATATAAGCCTTTATTATGTAGAGGCAAAGCTTCAGATCAGTTCAGGTTCATACAGTTTACAGTATTAAACAACGCTATGGCTGCACTACTGTCAAACCAATCAACCAAAGATGCAGAGAAACCAGAGATGTTGTAATGATATGCAGTACCAGAAAGACCTAAACAGAAATTATTTGGAAGTGAAAGCAGACAAAGCTCACAGCAGAAAGAAAATTGTTAACCCAGAGACTTAAAAAAAGGACATTTCTGCAACATTTAGTTAGAAGAAAATAAATGATCTTGTATGTGAATGAATACAATGAGGAAATCATGTAAAACAGCTGGGAGCACTCTGGGGTAAGAAAATATCACCTCGTGGAGTAATAACAATTTACTTTGAAAACTTATCCATTAGCATAAATAAATACACCAAAATATGTTTGCATATGCTCAGAGATAAGATATCAATTAAATTTCTGATTTTTTTTTTCAATTAATACAGCTCAGGACATTCAGAGAGCTGCATTTTCCACACGAAATGACTATGATTTACATCTGTGTACGAGATGCACGTTGCTGGTGCCTGGATAGTCCTTGCGCAGAGTTACTGACCTCAGACCATCCTGATAAGCACGGTGGAACAGGAGAGTGCCACACTGAATGTGTGCATACCGAAACGCCATTCCTCATGTTAGCTATACAAACCTATTTGAAAAAAATGAAACGTGTCTGTCCCCCAGCCCATTTGCAAACACATCTCAGGACTGGACAGACTGGCAGGGATAACCTTTTCACAGGCTGTGATTTCCTACTGGCACAAACTGGAAAACCTTCCTAGTTTGTTGACTGTTCTAACGGATGAAAGTACCCAGGGTGCAAGTCAAAGGTAATGAACCATCACAAGATATACCAGCACAAGAAAGATAAAGTAAGAGTCAACACAAAATCTGACAGGACAGATGAATGTGTTTATGACATCAGAGACCTACTACAGGACACCAATGGCTTTCCTTTATTTGAATATGGAATTACAGGTAGTAAAATAATTTTCCTCTGAATTGGAAAGACTCTGTTCCATGGCATGACGTTGAGTCAAAGCATCTAATTTTTATTGCACGGGCCAGAGCAAGAATGGTCCCTTATCAGGGCAGTGTTTAGTTCCCAGAGCAAAACAAAGGCACCACACTGACATATATCCTGTTAGATTCAGGCCTTTTCAGTCCCAATCTTCTTGTAGAAGGGAAAGTGACAGCCACATGATGTGGAAGAAAATAAGCAGGTATCTGTACATCAATTCAATTCTGTTGACATGGCATCAAACAACTTGCATGAAACAAACCCAAGAAGAATAGATCTGAACACATTGAACTTCTTCACCTGAAACTGAGAACTCTTATGTCTGCAAGGTTTTAGAGGTAAAAATATTATATGGAAATGGTTCTTTCTTGTCTGTGGATGACTAAGACTGTCATGCTTCCTCAGCAGCAGATGATTTATGGTGATCAGGAACTTCTCTCCAATTCCCTCTCAGTCATCCCCAAGAGGTGAAGTTCCACCTGGCATTTCCGGGCCTTTTCCATGCTGCTCTTTACTAATTTTGCTGATGAAATATCAATGAACCAGGACCACATGGTTATTCATAAAGTTTCTGGGTTTGAAAGTGTTATTGCTCTGATAATACAGAAAGCATGGCTTACTATAGAAATTTAGAGCATAACTGACAAAAAGAACTTAACCTTTTGTATTGGGGTTGTTTTACCCACCATGTGTATTATAGTAAACCATGATCTCCTGAAAGGCTATACTGTAAGACATTTCTTGTAGAAAATGCATAAAGCAACAAGATTAAGAAAACCAATACTGAACTAGATTAAAAAAGCCACTGTAGCTAAGCTGTATGAGAAAGCAGACACTGTGATTCTTTAAGAAACTTGGATTCATTATTATCTGTAAAACTTGTCTTTCTGTAGCAAGAAAGAGTCAAATTCTTATCAGTGGAAAGACTATTTTAAGAAGCAACCAATTTAAAACTCTGCACAGGAATGAGGTATATCTTTACCTGGGAGTCATATGCAGATTCACACAGCACTGAAGACCTTTCAGAGCAGTCTCTCTTTCTGGAGAAAGACCTTATTCAACAGGGTGGCTCTACTGCCTACATACACTCTGGAGATGAAGTCCAAAGTCAGCCTCCATCACAGGAGACCGGGCAGTTATCTTGCAGCTGATCCTTCACCTCACTTTCTATCCCTGTCTGACCAGGGGGTGCGTCAGAGCCGTCACTAGCGAGGCAGGCTGGCTCTCATCCCTTATCTGCCCACACTGGCATGGATGTGCCAACGAGTCCCCATCAGCAAGCTGCCGCCTGGAAATCTGCCTAAGGTAAGAGTGAGCTGTCACCACCCAACTTCTGAAATGCAGCGCTGCCCATCTTAAAGGTCAGCACAGTTAGAAGTTCACAGCTGGTCTTCTGCAGGCAGATTCACATGAAAGGGCAGGTCGCAAAGAATCATACAACTGTTTAAGTTGGGAAAGACCTTTAAGTTCAGAGTCCAACCATTAACCTAACACTGCCAAGTCTACCACTAAGCCATGTCTGTAAGTGCCACATCTACACATCTTTTAAATACCTCCAGGGATGGTGACTCTACCACTCTCCTGGGCAGCCTGTTCCAGTGCTTGATAACCCTTTTGGTGAAGAATTTTTTTCCTAACATCCAATCTAAACCTCCCATGGCACAATTTGAGGCCATTTCCTTTTGTCCTAATGATTGTTAGTTGGGAGAAGAGACCGACACTGACCTCGCTACAACCTCATTTCAGGTAGAGGACTGATATTTTTCAGTTGGAGTTTTCTGTCAGTAAAGACAGATGATTAAAGCCTTGTCCATACAGGAGAAAGATCCCAACACCAGCTATCCATGGGGATATAATTATGGAAGAAACATAGGCCAAATCTGACAAAAAAA